CTTGTGTTGTGTTACCTTTGTTTTTGCACAATACCTACCTATCTAACTAACTATACGTGCTCTATGATATACATATCGGCCTTGAGCCTTGTTGATTCTACTTTATTTGAGTGCTTGTTCCTCAGATATATATAAGGATATAATGGACAAAATATAATTGACTAGAGTCATGGTCATGCACTCTCTCAATATGACTATACAATACTCTTACATAACCTAATAGAACCTGGTTACAATACCCATATAGTGTTCAAGATATGACACGGTTAGATAAGTAATCCATCGAGATAAGTGGTATTCCTAAATGGAGACAGAAACACAGAACCTGACAACCTATACTAGAATGGAGGGAACCATAGCAAGTACCTTGCATTTCCGCTGTACATATGCCCAAACATATAGAAAGCGATGACTAATTTCAGTCTGTGTATGCGAAACAGAATCGGATCTGTGCACAAACTAGACGTGACATTGTCTATCAATCATAATAAAATCATGGTCAAGTTTTCTCGCTCGCTTCGGTTTATTTTCAATGGCAATTTGACAGGCCACTGAATGTAGGGATGCCGGGAGCGAGGTATTGACGGTTTGGGCTATGTTTGTGATCGTGGTTGCTGGCTAAGCGCGTTGGTTGGGATTTGGTGCTTACGCACCGTTTGCGACAGGAGTGTTGTTCTCTGATTCAACTGTGCGGCTCACCAAGGTTGATTGTTGTTCGGGTTGTGCTTGCTGTATGGCTACACTCTGCGGACGCCATCTGGCTAGTACTTTACCAGCGGTGGGTCGTGATTCCTCGTCTATTATGAGAAGGTTAGCGGAGATGCGTTCTTGGGGATTGGTGTCAGTAGCTTACATGTCTGGTAAACATCCTCTACGGCATTGAGACACATTTCCCGCGCCGGGGGCCGGAACATAATCAGATATCTAATCGATGTCAGTTCAATGTACTTGTTAAAGTCTCATGGTACATGGAGTACGCACAGTAACGATTGGATGCAGAGATTCACTCTCTCGGGGTCTTTTGCGAGACTAGCTACCCGTTTTGTGATGGGGATAGTTACTTCTGGAATCTCACTGAGGAACCGTATGAAGATCTTGGTGTCTCGAGAATCCAAATACGGCAGAAATCCGTCCAGAAGTCGCAGTGACCACTGGTCGTAGTGCAATAGTACCGACGATTCCTCATCTTCCTCAGCTCGTTGGGACGCAGTAAATCTCATTTGAATTCGGTCATTGTACCATTCCTCGTTCAACCACATGATTCCAACGTTCACTCGGCCCCTAAAATCTTCGAGTATATATCGATACAATGTTTCGCGTATAGAATCGGATATTGTCGGTCTCTTCGAGGAAAGATCTTGGTCGTTCTTCTTGTTGTCTGCCTCTAATCCAGCAGGAGCCCGCGTCGCGAGTCGAGTGAGTAATGTTACCCAGGCGTCCCGATCAAAGGTGCTGCCAGCCAGCCTCGAGAAACCTAGGTGTTGCTGGCTCTTTCCTTTTCCAGTATTTGGCGCCACGCCGCTCGATGCCAGCATGTCAAACACTCTTCCCACTGCACTTCGGCCAATCTCTGCAGCCTCATTTTCCGATAAAGGGGGAGGTTGCGGGAGTACAAACGGACCGAGTGATACCAGGTCAGGCTGAAGATCGGCCGGTTCGGCCGACAGCGCATCTTCTTGCTCTGTCGCCGGTTCGGCAACGTCCATAGGTTGGTATTCGGGCTCATAGTCATCGTCTTCTTCTTCACCCGCTGCCGGTGGAGGAGGATGTGCAGCTTGCTGCTTCTGGAGTGTCTGATACCGCATTCGTACACCCTATCATGATATTAGGACTTGTCTTCTCTCCAAATAAAATGTTTCACACATACATCAACGGCCTGGTGGAGGGCAGACTGGTCTACCCGAGATAAAACAGGAACCACAATTTTGACGAGAAGCTCAACTGGTAGTTGCTTCACGTCAAAGGAGGAAAGGCCAGCGTCTTCGGTTAACGTATAAAGCTGCGAGTAACTGACTGGACCCGGGGGTAGCGGTGACACCTTGATCAATGGAGGGGATTCCGCGTCCAGTTTTGCCCGCTTGGAATTGTCCAGACCATCCGTTGGCTCAGTCGGTAGGCCACGCTTTTTTGAGCTATCGTCGGTGGTTTCTATGCGCGACTGCATCAAGCGCTCGATATGTTGTTGCATTTTACTTGCGAGAGGATGGCTGGGATTTCTAGACCGCCCGTCAGTCTCTTACCTCAACTTGAAACGGCCCATCCTTCTCACCTCTTCATTATATTGATCATCAGGGCCCTAGCTGTACGCTCCATTGACTTGACGCCAACACGAACCGCGGGTGTTACCGGGGTGCGTGCTTGTCTTGCGGGAACGAAACTTAGAATCGCATTGATGATCTTGTTGCCGATGGACTGTCGGGTTCGTATCAGGATCGCTAGACTGTTCAGAGTCGCATTCACTAGGAGGGGGTCGCTAACAACGATAGGTCCATTAGCGGGACACGAGACAATTGGCTTGGGAGAAGGGATTGCTCGTACCTTGCATCTTCCTGAAAGACTGACAGCAATCTATCAAGGAGGCCTGACGCCTCGGCTTCTAGGTTCGGGAGGGAGAGGAGGGAATGATTTCTAGGAACAATGGCCAAAGACGTTTCATTTTGCTCCGGCCGCTGAGAGTCATTAACAGTCTTTCCTTTTTGAATAGCAGGTATTTCTTTTCTTTCCTGTACGTACTCTAGGGTCCGTTAGGCCGTGGGTCTGGACTTGAACCACTCGCTGTACGAACTTGATACAGCATACTTTCACCGAAAATGGGGATGTATCCCATCTCCGGAGTATATCGTCCTTAATAGCGGTCATATTCTCCCAGGCTGTAGAGTCTTCGGGGTGGTTGATGCTGCAATTATCAGAGTGTCAGTTCCCACAATTCCCCAGAGACTGACTTAATTTGGTTTCCTGCGCGCTTCTACGAGGCCTCTCCCCGGGGCGAAACAGAAGGGAGAGCATTGGTCACCTACATATGCCTAAACACCAGGGGATATAAACTGGCCGCAGCTTCCACTATATGCTTCAAAGTCACAGTATCCTTTTCCGGCAACTCCAACGTCTCTCGTAGTGTCTGTAATGCAATCGCAGCTAGCTGCTCCTTTTGGGCCGGAGCCAGCGCTGGGCTAGAGAAGGTCTCCGCTAAGAATTCTGCACCCCATCGTCGTAATTCCAATCGCGATTGCGCACCAATTATAGGAAGGACGCCATTCACAATCTGTGGGTAGAAAGCGGCATCGCCCAGAACGAGAGTGCGGGCGGCGTTGAGCTGGGCGACCTGGTCGACAAGGTTACCAGTCGACTGAGTCATGACGGCTCTGTTCAACCAGCCTAAAGGGAAGATTAAAGAGGGGTCTCGGCGGTTAAGCGAGTCTTCTACGATTAATAGAATCTATAAAACCATGAAAATGGAGAGAAGGGGATCAGGTTAAAAGACGCGACGAGCAGCCTGGCCACGATACCGTCGGGCCAGGAAACAGGGTCACCGGCCGATATGGGGCGTCAATGCCGGAGTCGAAAGGTCGGTTCCAGGATGAGGAGCGACAGGGAAGAATATTGTAGTAGATAGCGATTGTTGAGAGAGAAGTTGGACAATTCGGGAGATTTCAAGATGACGCCGATGGACTTGATTGGGGAAGTAAAGTCACCTGCAGCGGGCCGGCAATTCGGCCGATCATTTGTTAATAAATTGAGACAACATCTAACTACTAGTTACTCATGCATTACACCTTCCACAACTCCTATTTACTTCGGAGAATGTAGATAAGTTAGAAGAAGAAAAATTGCATATAACTTTATGAATACATCCCTTTATCTGTCTTTGTCCTTAAAACTAATAGTGGGGGGCTTTCTGATACAGTCCAAAGTATTGCCCATTAAATCCGGTGCAAAGTATATACTGTCATTCTTATACATCGAGCCGAGCTTATTGAAGACACTACGGAGTAGATCTCGCAAGCATAACCAGCCTGCTATAAAATAGTACTCTACCAAGGTGATGTGCAGGCTAAACACTGTCCATCATTAATTTACCTCTAACTCATGGCTCCTAGGCACTAGTTAGTAGTAGATTGTAATTTTATACAAGGAAAGTATTTCAAAATACCTGGAAACTACAAGTAGTCACGGGGTATGTACTGTACCTACTAGTATATGATATATCAACGATCACCCATCCTGATCGAATCAATCGAACTGTAAACTTTGCAAAGAGTCGCCCACCCTATGGACCAAACTTTTCGCTTCAGAACATAACTCGATTCGTCTCAGATGATAGAATGTTGAGCGGTGAATTCCCTCGACGGGCTAGGTGTGGGAATCATTGGATAGCAAGGGGTTGGAAAGGAAAATCATTCAACCAGTGCATCGCACTTTCGAGAACAGTGTCCAAATGAGCTAAGTGGGGTGCCTCGGATGTTAGCTATTGCTTGTCGAATTACGTGGTCTATACAACGGCTTATCTACGGAGTACACTTTCGCCTTATTGCATTCCTTCTAGAATCTGGCACCCTCGTCCGCGTTGTAAGTTTGGGGGTGATCTAGTGGGTAGGTAAGAAGCCTTTTATAACCATTCAACAAAAATATTCAATGTCTAATATATGAGGTAGTATGATTCTCACTTAGGGTTCACCCTTAGCATATATGCGAGAGGTCCCGCTTGATCCGCGGCTCGGGTCTATCTTTTTATCACCTTTATTCAGAGGTAGAGAGATGGAGACATGTCTTTGTCGGGCGTTGAACTAACGCGATTTATCGGGTTCCCCACGTGATATATCAGCTTCCGTTGCCAAGATCCAAAAAGAGTAAAACAGAAAAAAAAGTTACGCGGAGTACGAACAGCGACAGAGGGACAATACGCCCTCCACCATTGTGTTCCTTCTTTCTTTTTCTTCTTCTTTAGCCAGAAACAAGCCTTAGATTTCGAGAGGCGGGACACTCTCACAGTTAATTTCACCATGGGAAAGAAATCGAAGTCCCAGTCGGAAAATGCTCCGCAGACCGAAAAGGCAGAAATGTCTATTCCCTTCCTAGCTGGAAATGCCTCAGTTGACCCAACGTTGGCGTCCTTGTTTGAGACGAGCGTAAGTGGGTTGTCTTTGCTTGTTGAGAACCTGGCTAATCTCTGTCACATGTTTTAGTCGGGCCCAGTAAAAGCGCCGTCATTGCCCACAACTGGCAGCGCTGTTGAAAAACCCACCGCAGGTGACGATACCAGTGATGACGTGTCGGGGCCTGAAGATGAAGATCAGGTTATGCAGGAAGCTTCCGAAGCCTTGACTGGTGGTGAGCCAGCTCAGGTGGCTTCGGAGCCTCCCAGTCGGAAACGAAAGAGGGTTGCGGGAGAAGATCTCGAAGAATCTTACATGCGTCGCATAGCAAAGGAAGAACAGAAGGAAGAACAGAAGCGCCGTGCGGAAAAAACAAAGAGGCAAAAATCCGAGGGTGAGGAAGAGGATGAAGCAACATCTACCGAGAAAACCGACGACGAGGATGAGGATAAAAGTTCCGATGAAGATGCAGAGATCGCGATTCCCAAACACGAAACTCTGACCGGCAACGCTCAGTCATCTAATATTGACCAGTCTAATCGCACGGTGTTCCTAAGCAATGTCTCCAATGACGCCATCAAGTTCAAGTCTGCTAAGAAAACCCTTTTGAAACATTTTGAATCGTTCCTTTCTACACTCCCTGAATCTACGGGCCCTCACAAAGTGGAGTCGATACGTTTCCGTTCCACGGCCTTCGCGAGCGGCGGAAAGATCCCGAAGCGTGCTGCCTTTGCAAAGCGCGAGGTTCTGGATGAAACCACTCCCAGTACCAACGCGTATATCGTTTATAGTACTGTCCAGGCCGCTCGGAAGGCTCCTGCCGCCCTGAACGGGACTGTCGTCCTGGATAGACACGTGCGTGTTGATAGCGTCGCACATCCCGCCCCGGTCGATAATAAACGGTGCGTTTTCGTCGGCAATCTCAACTTCGTGGACCAGGAAGGCAACGCCGATGATGAGGAAAAGCCGAAGAAGAAGAAGGCACCGGCCGATGTTGAAGAAGGACTTTGGCGGACCTTTAATGCTCACACCAGCAAACCCAAAGATCAGACTACCCGCCAAGGCAATGTCGAATCGGTTCGGGTCGTTCGCGACAGTGTCACCCGTGTTTCGAAGGGGTTTGCCTATGTCCAATTTTACGACCCGAATTGTGTGGAGGAGGCCCTTCTGCTGGATGGAAAGCAGTTTCCGCCCATGCTCCCCCGGAAGCTACGTGTCATGCGAGCTAAGAAACAGCCGAAGAAACGTGAAGCCGGTGGCAGCACTCAAGGCAAACCGCTGCGGGAGGCGGATAAGACGCTTCAAGGTCGTGCTGGCAAGCTTTTCGGCAGAGCGGGTGCGGCCAAGGTCAGGGCAGATGCTACGAAATCCATCTCCAACAACTCATTAGTGTTCGAAGGCCACCGAGCGACGGATAATGGGTCATCGCGCATCCGCGTGAAGACGAAGAGTCGTGGCAGCAAAGGCAAGCCGAAAAACCGCAGCAGCAAACGAGCGGCGGCGTACAAGGCAGCGGGAGGGAAGAAGAGGAAGACCGAATAGTAGACTGAGAATATGAAGTAGATTACATGTTCTGTTCCTCATGTATGTATTTTACAACAGAAATGAACCTTTAAAAGAAGGACCTACGGTAGTTACTATTCTTGCAATGACTAGAAGAACAATCTTCATACACTTACTATGTATGTATGTACTAGTCGTGACTACGGGAGACTAAATGTACCCTGGGTTCTGACGTCATCCAGGAAATCCAGTCAATGGGCCTTTGGGCTAATCCCAATCGGTCAAAGAAGGCAACTACCTACTCTGTACTGCCAGATACTTAAGAACACTACTTCATCTTGTATTAACTACAGTCTCTTACCACAATTGTCATTCTCGAGATTTTTTCCTTTTGTTAGTTGACAGTACTTGGTCTCACAGGACGGGTCATTATTGTACGGCCGTCGATCGATCACCACTCAACCCAGATTCCCCCACCCGACGCGGGGGTGTAAATACATTCATTTCCCTTTCTCGCCAGCAACAGAAGAAAACAGCGTGCGTGAGTGAGTGAGTGCAAGAGCCATAAAAGGACTGCATCGAATCTATATGCACGGTTTGACTCGGTGGACTTGTAATTGACCCAGTTTCGTTATTGTTTTCTGCTTGACTTAGTCGAGGCTGTGGAACTCCTCACATTCAGCTCGGTGCCTAGAGAGTGGATCATTGCCTAGAGCAACCATCAAACCAGCCGTCCACGCCTTTCGCTAATAACGATACATTATTTATCTAGAACGTGCTTTTCCAGTGACTTTAATGTTATCAGCCTTTTGCGATATACCCGTCCATAGCGCACCATTCCTAACACGGGGTCTAGACCCACTTACTTACTAGATGATGCTCCCCATGGTTCCACGCTTCCGTGGACTCAGACGCAGACAGTCGAATTCCTCTAACGACGAGCCTGAGCCTCAATTTAATATGGGCAACCAAAATAGCACTGCTGATGACAACCATGAGCCGACTAACTCGGAGATCTTCTACCCCGAACTCTACGATGTGCTTAAGGTTCGGTATCTGCTGCGATGGAAGATAATCCCTGAAGGGCTACCCGTTGAGATTGTGGACCTGATCGTGGATGCGGCTGAATATTGGCCCTCCATCGAGGCTACATTGGACCAAAAAAGAATTATCCCCCAGGACAGAGATCAGGTGTTGGTCAGGACAGCACCACTGTGCTATGATGCAAAGGTATACTACATACTCTCCAAGCTCCTTAACCTGGCATTTCTCTTCACTAGCCTTGATCACTGACATCGCGTAGACACTGGAAAGTGACTCACCTAAAGTGCTCCCTCACCGGACTATTCATCCTTGTCGGAAGATTGTTTTCTCCATCGCCTCGCATGACCAGGGCTTTGCTAACAGCGGGCACGGCACGTTTGACGGATCCTATACTTGGTTTGACACCGAAATTGTTCCCTCCGAGAATTTGTCAACGTCTGGCAATTCGTCTATTCCCGAACGAGATGCGAACGGGGTCCGGTTTGGGCATGGTCATCCTCTTCTCCTGCCCAGCTCCCACAAACTCCAGGCGAATCGAGCGGCGGTGAGGGGAACCCAGCATTATCATATTACCTGGCATCATCTCGACAACATCGGCGCCGATTCAGCGGAAGCGGAGGAAATCCAACATAACCAAGGTCGAGGACGAGCCACGCTCAATGGTAGTCAAGTCCGTAACTTGCAGATTGGTGATACAATCGCCGTCTGGGGTCGAGCACGGTTTGGGGCGTGGTCGAACCATGTGGAACGATTGTCGGTGCGGGTATTTTGGGCTGTGTAAAGTTGGCGACGCTTCACTGCGTCTCCCGGCTGGACTGGTACATACGTACATGGCATCAATGCGAGGAATGCTGCACTGATTCAATTGTGACTAGGTATACGATAGTAAATAGATATTAAGGCAGGCCCTTTGAGATAGTGATGGATAATTGGGTTAACGGGGTTACTCCTGGAATGCATGTAATTCCCAATATTTTATTTACTTATTTCGGATGACGAATGAATGTATGAATGAATGAATGAATGACATACGTGACTTTAATCATATCAAAATCGTCATGGGATCATGGATCAATGGATACGATCCCAATTCCGGAATAGGGTGACGGCCTTTCGAATCAGGCCGCCAGCAATAACCTCATTCCTTTGAGAAATCACGCAATTGCGCCAAGACTGCGACGATCCGCCACTAACTCATCTGAATATAAGGTCCTCACTTCCTCCATCGCCAGACGCCTTCAAGGATCCTCTGTTTTGGCGATCGAAAGAGACCGCTTGACAGTCACTCAGTCTATGGAAACGGAGACTTCGATCTCGTCTTCGTCCTTTCGCCCCTTGACGCTTTCGCCGTCTTCGCCTTTTCACCGGCCAAGACACGACACGACCAACATGTGACCTCCGACGGAAAAGCGCTCAAGGATTTGCCTGCGAGTGGGGCTGATGTGTCAGTTCGAACAGCAATTGGCTTATTTGAGGGAGGATAATCGGCGACTACGTACCAAACTACGGTTACGAGGGTATCACCGCCTGATACGGGTCTGCGTCTACTGAAAGATGAGGAGTTGTACATCTCGCCCGAGAGCGCCGCCCTTTCGGCCTGGAAGCCGCGTTCCCGCACGAACGATCCTCAAGGTGCCAGTTACGAATGACTGATTCTGCTTGCTGTCATTCGCTCTGTCCCGTCCGTTTGGTCGTTTTCTCTCCATGTGCCTTCCCCTCTCGTCTAGACCAAGGCACAATGACGACGCTCCCTGGCTTGTTTTGCCGAGAATTACACCGGTGTTTCCATACATTCCACCCCTGTCTATTCTCCCATAAATTTCGGCGCTCTCCCAGCATTTTCCCACCCATCTCTCATCAGTCGGGTTTCTGCCATAGCAAACTGTGCACAATTTATATGCCACAAAACGCCTTGTTTCGTTCCTGATATCCTTACACGTCAACACACACCACATATACGGCCTCGGAAATGAATTCACAGAGATGTGCCGCCGTCGTCGTGGGAGCCGGCCCCGCCGGTCTCGCCGTTATTGGGAATTTGTTGGAGAAGCAACTAGGGGGGAAGATCGCCTGGATTGACCCATACTTTCAGGCTGGTCGGGTGAATCGCAAATACCGCGAAGTGCCTAGGTGAGTGTTTCTGTCTGACAGCCTGACCTTATCAAAGGCGTCGGATGAGGAGCGCTCGACTGACGTGTCTCGGTGCCGATTCAGTAACACCAAAGTTGCCCTGTTCCAAGCGTATGCCACAGCTGTGCAGCCCTTCCGCTCCGTCATCAACAGCACCCGTATTCCAAGTCCATTCTCGACAATGGCCAAACTCGACCAGGAGAAGACCTGTCACCTGCATCATGCGGCAGATATGGTCCGTGCCTTGACCGAGGGCATCACCAAGATGGACCAGGTTTATGCGTGTCGGGGGTATGTCACAGCGGCCAACCTGGTAGAGAAAGTCAGTATAAAGTCCCGTATAGAGGGCCGTCCCAGGAGATCTCGTGCCCTGTGTAGCTAATCATTGCCCTTTTCGCTCTTAGACTTCGTCTTGGACCGTTCGGATCCAACGCGCGGACCACCTCGACGAAGTTGAGATCATAACCCCTAGACTCATCTTGTGTACGGGATCATCGCCGACAGAGGTACCGATCCCTGTATATGGACAGCACATCGAGAGGTTGGATCTAGATGTAGTGCTCAAACCTAGTGACCTCGTCTCGTATCTTCCCCGCAACGAGCCCCAGACGGTGGGAGTTGTCGGAGCTTCCCATAGTGCTATTCTGGCGCTCCTCAACCTGGTAGATCTGGCCCACAGTACCCACCCCCAGCTCCGCATTAAGTGGTTCACTCGGCATCCGCTGAGGTATGCGGAGTACATGGATGGCTGGATTCTGCGGGACAACACTGGCCTGAAGGGTTCCGCTGCCGACTTTGCCCGGCAACAGCTGGAGGAGGACAAACTCCCTCATTCCGAAGCTGGTCGGTTCATCACCAAGGTGGACTGCGGAGGCGGCCAGGAAGCGGCACAGTATGAACGGCATCTGCGTCGTGCACCCACCTGGTGCAAGCTGTAGGATTTACTCGGGACCTTCTTCCCGAGCTGTCAGTGAAGGGCCATCTCCTCGACCCTGAATTTGACTCGGTGTCCGGTGGTTTCCATGATGCGACTGGCCGTGTCGTCCCGGGTTTGCATGGAGCAGGAATTGCATTCCCAGAACGAGTGGTCGATCCTTACGGCAATGTCGAACATGCTGTTGGATTCTGGAAGTTTATGAAATTTATCAAGAGAGTCAGTCCCCAGTGGACGGCTTGAGGGTGATTTTCTTGCACTAATGATTCCCCTTTGCTTTTGCCCTGATTTCTTGGTATTATTAGCGTCATCAGTTGTGGATAGAATTTCCATTCTAATATGCAAAGTATTTTTAACACTGGACACTTCTACCCTGTATCCTGTATCAGACTCGACCTCTTATGACTTGATCCACCAAGCCTTCGGTAGAGCGAGTCATCCAGGAATCATATCAGATTCTCTCGCAACTACAACCTCCCACAAAGGCATAGTTCATTAAACATACGTCATAAGTATACTTGGGAGACACCGAACAAATTAAGGCGTCGTCCGATGTGGTGATCAAGAACCTCGTAGTAGACTTGATCCTCATCCATAACCATAGTACCATATTAAAGACACTTACACACATACACACATACACATATACACATATATATATATATACACACACACACACACACACACACACACACACACACACACACACACACATATACACATATATATACACACACACACACACAGAGCCCACCACCTGGAATATCCACTATACTTTCCCCCCGAACTCCTCATTTCCTTAAACTAAACAGCAACCCCTGAATCCCCCACCTGACAAAGCTCTTCTCCGTCAACGGCCACTACCTATCATGGCGCCAACGCCGCGACTTCTGTGACGCAACTGGCCTCCCCCTCTCCAAGTTGCACCGTAAAGGAACGGGCGGGACCTGGTTCGTCCAGTTACCGGGTAGTACTAGTAGCTCTACTCCGATCGTTACACTCGCGCCTCGATGGAGCGCCACGAAGGGCAAATTCGACGTGTTTTGCGCGAACGCCGTTGGTTGCGGGGAAGAGATCGTCCTCGAGGTCCGAGGACAGGATATCTGGAAGATGAAAACGCTTGTCTACTGCAATGGCGAAGTAGTCGTGGCGGTGCGGTTTACGAAACTAATGCAGTGCAATGTGATGATCAAGAAGCCCGAATGGGAGGTGGAGATTACCGAAAGCATAGATCTAGTGTTAGTAGGCTTTTCTATCTAGGTTACGTGTGTGATGAGAGGTGTGTGCTGGGCTGTATACGGTGGAACTGCTGACACTGGTTTTTGATATCAGGCGTCCATGATTACGGTGCTTCTGGCGGAGATGCTTACGGGTGGTCTTGCGCCTTCGTCATATTCTCCTTCTTCTCCCTGTTCCGGGCCTGGTGTTGATTGTGGAGGGACGAAGTCGTCTGCGACGTAGGTGGTTGGTACAGGGTCTTACGTACTGTATAGAACAACCCTGTCATCGTTTCTGTTGTCAGCGGTACCCTCCGAGCCACGTTCTAGGCCATTAACAATCGTCGAAAGGACCAATTATAAGCCGAGTATGACTTGGACTTGCGTACATCGCGAAAATCCACTTCTCATGCATAGGCCAATAGGAGGCTGATCGCGACGACTCGTCCCAGGATCTCGACGCGTTGTGGGAAGCATGCCTGGGATCGGATATCGTCGGCCTCCTACTGTCGGGTGGGCTTATGTTATCAATATAGTTACGCAGGCTTTGGATTGATGGGGTATGGTTCTCACATTAGGATGTCTTCTCGTGAGGCTAATGAGGCATAGGAAATTGAATGTAACTCTTGAGGCCTATACACTCTGTTGGACTGGATTTGCATCATGATCGGGTATCCGGCTGGAAATGAAGACGACAATAGCCTATTTGCCATGAATGCCAAGTAAACGTATATCGTAACAAGCGCGAACTGATCATTTGGGCCGTTAAATAGTTTATGAATCCTCCAGCTCTTCTAACATAGCATCAATGAACTCCCTCTCTTCTAACAGAAACTTGCGTGCCGAGGCGACGTCAAAGTCACGATTTGCCTTCTTATGCTGCCGTATTACCTTCAACTGATGACGCACTCGCTCCTCCAAGTTCTCCAGCCGATACTCCGCATACTGATAGTAAAGCGTATTCCTGGGAGTTATAGGCAACAGGGGTCTGATACTTGTCTCATCGCGAACAAAGGGCGATTTAGGTCTTAGAGATGTGACCATACTGATACGTTCCCGGCCGCCAAAGGCTGTGAGAGCTTGGTGCTCGATGTAACGACCTTGCATAATGACAGCCGTGCCCTAGATTACATGGATTAGCTGTAGGGCCTTCCAAATCAGAATAATAATCTCTTACCATGGCAGGTCCACGGAACTTTAGAACTTCGCCAGTGCCTGTCCGGATAGCCGTCTCGCCACCGATCATCCCGACGCAATCTGACAGCATGGTGACACATACGAATGCGTAGCTGTCAGAATGCCACTCAAAAGCAACCTTATCATCCGCATCGCTGTCGGGTGCGCTGGTAGTTGCGGCGTCATCACGAACTGAGATATTAACATGTCCAATATCTACATCCATAGCAGGAACCAGCTCGATTCCAGCTATTTTAGAGAGTGCTCCCAAAACCGCTGGACTGTTCCAGGCGTCATATATAAACGAGGACATCCTAGATGTGTATCAGTAAACTTTGTGAAGAGAGAGCGAAGGTAACAACGTACTCGGGGCAATAACCTCGGATCATATTGGTTGCTAAGTCTGAACCAACCTGATACTTCTCCAGTACTTGCCGGCTGAATATCTCAGCCCTCATCTGCCTAATTGCCTCTTCAGTGAAAAGTGTGAACGGCTCTGAGATGGCCGTGGACGTGATGCCCGCATCCTCCAGTCCGATATCCTTCATAGTGATTATCCGCTGGGGAAACTTGAAATTGACATGCTTTTCTGCATTGAATGGTGCCCTATCTGGGATCTGCGCGCCTTTAATGAGAGACTGTGGGAGAGGTTTCCGGGGGCTCATGGAGTTGCCCTGTTGAGGGCTTGGAGCCACAGCTGGTGCAATAGCAACATTCGTCATGCCGGACTGTTCTTGCATTTGGGGATTGATGAAATAGGGTAGGCAAAGCAGGGAATTTGGACCAGAACAGTGAATTTGCTGGTCTTCTCGTGGTGGTCCCTTGGCTTCTTATCCTTCTCGGAGCGCTCAACCCCACATAGTAGCACATACGCTAAAGTACAGCTTCAACCCCGTTTCCGAAGTTTTCACCTGAGCATCAACACACTCGCATCTCCTCCAATCACATTACAACTGTGCCCTTTTCAGAACTTATCCTTTCTCGAACGTGTCGTTGGTTCATAATGGGAACGGTTTGTTAACCAGCCCAAGGAAATGAGCGAGAAGTGTGGTTTAGTGACATGGAAAGCACAAGGCGCTCATCAACATCCGGTAAAGATCTCATTCGGCTTGCCTCTTTGCGTAAGAATTCCTTGAGCGTATGTTTCACCAGCTCATATAGAGACGGAGCTAAGACCTTTGCTCGTTCAGTTGGCCGGACCTCAGCGATGCGTGAACTTTCCATAGCCAAGCACTTATCTTTCCAGTCTCTAGCATCATGGTTTCTCACTTCTTTAAGGATAGATGCCAGGGAGCAGTCATGCCTCTGAGTTGATCTATTCAGGAAAATGATAATATAATGGTTCCCGGTTCTGGGCCTTTGCCGCGTCTCTCCACCCACTGCGTCAATAGGTTATATGAGAGTGGGACCCTGGACTATCCTAACCTGGTATGTACTGTGTGGGTGCCACACTTCCCCCCCCCCCCTTTCGTACTTAGCGCAGGCTGAGGAATCTGCTGAAAATTCCTCCATCTTCAGCGCCACTGAGGTAGGAAAGATACAATATCCGTAGGGCCTCATGGGGATCATTGGGTACAGAATGTTAGATGTCTGGTTCTCTCTATCCACAGCCAAGAGCTAGGGTGGGGTCTGAGAGGTTTCAGAGTATATGCGAGAATCGGAAGCAGGATAATATGAAAAAAAAAAAAAAAAAAACCACCAATGGAGCATCGTTTGCTTGGAACACAGACTCAATTGTAGTTTTGCTGACGGGTTGACGCCTGCAGCGGTGAAGACGGCGTGTAAGAGATGGCGAACTATACATAGGTGGTGGTGGCGTGCTATGGATAGTCTCTAGCTCAGATCTCTCTTACAACTGTAAACTCGCTCTTGGTTTCTTGTCAGTTAGCTGGAACATCGAATTGGTGGTGTTGTCTGTATTTAATCCGGATGATGAGGTTAACCATTCGCTTGGGGTCCTGATCGTACAGTGCTTTTGTCTAGAATGAAATTGCTACATAATAAACACTCGTGGTTCTGGGAGAAGTGTGGGCCAATTTGTATAACTGCTTCGCGCCCATATCTTTTCAAGAAGTTTGAGAGCTTGCTGTAGATTAAGGAACCCATTACGGTGAAATTGCTTTTCCAAGAACTGCTTGAAATATAGCCGATGCTCATCCTTCAAGCTCTCTGATGCGGCAATGAACGTGGGCCATACCAGGGAATGTTCCCCTAATGATCCCTCTGGGAACAACTCTAATGTTTCCTTGAATCGCTCTATCTTGTCAGGGTCGAATGTGCCGTGAGGCCCCATTAGTGTGCGCTCTAGGTATATGTCATAAGCTTGCTGCCGAAGATATGCATTTAGATAAAATGTGAGTGCATGGTCGGGGTGGAGGTTGCAATTGAAGTGTAGGCAGTCAAAGCTCTCTTGGGCATGAGCCACAATACTACGCACACCAGCTTCCTCACTCAGTAGTGGTGCAGCATAGACACGAAACCTGGCAGGATTAATGATGGTATTCAGCAACTCCTGCAGTCTTTAGATACGTACTTGCGTATTTGCCGCAGCAGAAAATCAGCCAAGTCACCGTTCCCAAGCCCGCCCTCTCCACCGACCGCATCGAGAGCAGATTGCAACATGTTAAACAGAATAGGGAAATCTGAGCATCCGTTGACCATGACCCCTACCAAGAGTGTAATGATCGCAATGAATATAGACTGTCTTGTGAGCATGTCGTACTCATCCAAAGAGCTTCTGTCTTGTAGCCCTAAGATTGCCTTTGCATAGAGCTTATCCGGTCTAATTGGGAGTGTCCCTCCGGTTTTGTGAGAGAGATGGAAGGTCGATACAGCCAACACCGCATCCATGACCATTTTGTCGGATAACGCAAAAGGCAGAATCAAGTACCGCCATCCATTGTACTTGTCATCCATAACCACCATTTGAGGTGCAATATTGTGGGAGACTTGAAGGGTTATTATCATATATAAACTTCAATCAGGTCTATCAATGAGGCTTACAGTAAGTCAACAGGAATTCATTGCTTGGATCCACTAGATCGATGCTTAGGGGGAGGGCGGATATTGCTTCAGGGCTACCAGTAGATGTTTCTGGTGAATCAGGGGCCAGTCCCGTTAGTGCATTGGGTTCTGCGGGGTCATTTGTGACATTGTTAGTCCAGTCGAATTGCCCCTCGGAAGAACCAGCACGGTGAAAGGATGATGAGCGTTGATGCTGCGACAGATCATCGGGCCATTTACTGCAAGCCCAGTTAATATGGCCACCTTCGGCAAAACCATCATCAAAGGAAAAACATACCCACCCTGAGGTGAATTTCTCTCTTGCCAGTCTATCTTACCTTGGCTTCCCCCGTCGCGGAACCGGTAGCGGACCCCGAGCCCACTGCACGGTATGCCTCTGGACGCACATTTACCACAGCGTGGCTGCACGCGATCGCAATGGATTCGGCGCTGGGAGCATTCATAGCAGCCTGCGCACGTATCCGGTCAGCGAACCCACAATATATTTGGTCCGTCTAGTTCGATCTATGCGCACCTTTTACCTTCGGAACGTACCGACGTTTCTGGCGTGGCATATTGACTGTTGGGCCTGAACGTTTTGATTGAACAACAGGAACATATAATCAAAGCGTCATTGACAATAAGCCAGGTTAGGTAGGCGGGCAAAAGCTACTAGTAGGTCTAAAAATGCAGCAAGAGAAGCGGAGCGACCTTATCGAGAATGGCGGGGTAACTCCGATATTCGTGATTGATTATTCACGGTTCAAGTCTGGGTCATTCGTTAGATAGCTCACCATTGGCCAAAGGTTTGCACGTTCATGAAGGTCATCAAGTGGAAGAGAACTTGCCTGCAAGATGTCTCTATCAGATAATGCCATTGTGATCCAGATTCGATAGTAATTGATTGCTCTCTGCATCAGGGGCGGTTGTTGGTCGTAAAGAGAAGATGGTGACGGCGATATCCATGATCCAAAGGTGGCCATTTCGGGCTTAGCTGGGTAGACGTGCTCTCATTTAACATTCCTATTCCGGTTAGACCCTTTCCCCCGCATATCAAGTGACACTCCCCAGGATTCAATCCGAAGATCTACCGATAAGTATATCTAGAGGATTAACCCTATGTGAAGGCCGTGCTTTGAGACTATCCACTCGTGATCGATCACAGTTTGTCTGGACATCACGCCCCGTATACACACATAATAGTTGTTCTCAGCTCGATATCTACAAAGGGAATGGCAGTCTTCCGTGTTCCCATCCAACATTATAGAGAGCCACATGGTAGACGTACATACTAACTAATAGGACTAATAACAGCGAGCCCCAGTCAATTCAGCATCTTCAAGAATCATGAATCTGCCATCCTCCGATCCGCTGCTTTTTGTTATAGACATGATTTCTAATAGGACTTTTAGCACCTCATCACCGCATACCCTCTTGCATCATCGACCCTACGATTCTCCTCGCCCCGGCATCAGTCCATGGCTTGTTCTACTCAACATATACTCACACAAAGCCAACAAGTTACAAGAGTGCAGAACTCAGTCAAGATTCCAAAAGTGCTGCTAATCATAGCACCGTGGATCTCCTAGCATCTTTCCTTGAGAGTTTACCAACGATCAATCCCGGCGTCTAAGTAATCTCTTCGTGGATTCCTCTGCAGCGCGAACGAATCTTGGACAAATAATTAGTATTTGAACACCGGGACAACCAGAAGCGCGAAATGTGGACTATACCCGGATCAGACGAAGACATGGAGGATGCTGTCGGTTTCCGGATGTGCATATACCCCCATCAATGCGAACGACAGATAGGGTTCTCTTATCGTGTAAGGGGGTGCACTTCTTGGATACGGGTGTACTGGGCGTTAGTGCGTACGCTTTAGCGAATGCGCCCTGAACGGACGGCCATACTGCTACACTACACGAACGCCCGATTACAGAGTCCAAGCGTGATACCTCCTACGTTGAGGCGGGATTGGGTGATCCCAATGGCGATATTCCATCCCGATGGTACCATGGCCCCGATCAACTGAACGTGTTCCTTGCCGGTCTTGATCTACTGGTTATTACTCTATCCCTTACCTTGCTAACCTAGGGCATGATCGCTTGCGAACAGTTCCAAGCTCTCGGGAAGCGGAACACCTTCGTCAGCCACGCTGGACGGGGTCCAATCGTAAATGCTGATGACCTCGTCGCTGCTTTGAATAGCGGCACAATCAGAGGAACTGTGATTGACGTCACAGACCCTGAACCATTACCTGCGACGTCCACTGTGGAAGGCGAAGAATGTCATTCCTATTGCCCCATGTTGGGGAAAACTCGACTCACCACAATGAGTGAGTCCTGAAGATGTTGGCTCACAATCTTAAGAACATTGCGGAAGGGGGAGAGCTTATCAACAGGGCCAATAAATCGCCGGGCTACTAGGTCAATCTGAATGGATATCATATTATTCGTGCCCTTCAAAATCCCTGGCCGCGGCTTCCGTATTGCACCCAGTTCCAATACCGAGGTCAACTGTCAAATATACGACAGGTACAATGATCAGAATCGCCTGATCATACCAGGCTTCAATTGAACGTATTCATTAGGGTCCGGCACAGCTGTACTCCAAACGTAGACCATCCATCCGACGAACCCTCACAGATCCAGCCAATACTCCGTAATCCACTAGAATCCCCTTTTCCATCCTGTTATCAAATCACATTCACGTTCTGTCGAGTCGCATTAGCAATTTCTTTTTTTCTCCCTTAATCATGTCTTTAACTAGCCTACTAGTGCTTAAAAAGAAAAGAAAAGAAATCAATCAATCAATCAATCAATCAATCAATCAATCGAAATAAACCCATCACCCACATTCAGCCTCAAAAACAAAAATAGGACAGCCCTCGGTTCCGGAGAAACATCCCCGCCAAGGGCCAGAACTCGGTGATGAAATTTCATCCGACCAAAGCCTCCCCCAAGCCAACCACGGGTCCGAAGCCTAGTGTGAAAGCAGTAATCGAACCAGAAACTATTGAACTATATTCATGGTCCATCTCAAACCAAAGCTTGTTCGCCTCCACTTTTCACGTTCGTTCTGGTTACATTATTTTTCTTGAAGTGGCCACGGGGCTATATTTATCTTCTTTTTTTTCTTTTTTTTCTTTTTTGGAATACTACTACTACCTCCTCTATCATAAATTCATAATCTTACAATTAAATCGTTAAGATAGGCAGAGAAGCTTGTTGCCTACGGTTAATTAAGTAGTTAGATTAATGGTTACATTACGGGTCGATGATAGGGTGAATGGCAGTGGCTGATTTGGATTGATATCCAATTAATTGGATCCTGGTTCATAAAGGATTGGAGCTGAGATCCTTTCTTTCATTGTTTATGCTAGTGTATGTTTACTGACAGTGTTACATTCAGCTTGTACCACTGAGAACAGCCACAAGGCTGCTCAAGAATCCTTTGCCCACTCGTATGGATAGATGTATATGTATGTATGGCGGAAGCCACCGGATAAACCCTGAGACTGACTTACTACAGACGGAATACATGCATATGTCAAATCTGTCAGCACACGGAACACTGTGCAATCAGTATGTACGGTGTACAGAGTAGTCAATCATGTATTCCCAAAGTGTTCATGACTTCATGGACCAAGAAAACCAAACGAGCTGGTTTCTCGGCTTAAGGTCTCTTTCTCAGTACTAACGGTTAGCCTGTTATTCCCACTGATCCACCAACCCTTCCCCCCGCCGCGATAAGACAAACGAGATTGACGACCATTCATAAAGGGAAAGTCGACAACTGTTCTGCTCTTACCTGTTCAGGGGACGCGACCTGTTAGTATGCTATAGCCTACGGAGTACAGGTAAGTTCTATTCGGGAGCGGAGTCCTCCGTAGGTAGAAAAACAGCCTTAAAAACCCAACCGGTAAAACAGTGCTGATCCCCCTCTAATCGACAGTGCATCGTAATAATAATCAGGCTCCGCCCCGTCTTGGTCTCGGTTCTTATCAGCCAATCTGCATGGCGAGTGATAATCGATCACAATCAGGACGGATGATCGTGATCCCCTTGATGTCCCGATGCCAGAGGGTGAAACTGTCCTTCAAGTTTGTCCCAGACCTGTCTCAAGGCTCCTACGTGGAATGTCTGACACTCTCGTGCCCCTTGAGGCAAAAGCAAAACAAGGCGTTGGGTCAGTATACCTACGGGGCCTGTACCGTATTTCGTTTTTTTCGGTAAGGGGGATTTTAGTAACATGGTGTCATCGGTGTTTTCTGGACAGAATCCCGTGGTGTTGCGTCAGGGTTAATTTCCCGGGACAGGGTATCTTATTGGTGTAAGGCGGGTGGACCCTTGGGTTCCTTTTCAACGGTCCACTACTACTATCAAGTAGTTGGATTGTCAACCTACCGAGGGGACCCACTGTCGACTTGGTACCTGGCTCGAAGTCGGTACTAGTCCAATGCCCAATTTTATGGAATCACCCCCATAATTGCTCCGTGGTTATCACCGAAATCTGGTTCTGACTTATCCCGAATTGCACCATTATACACTAGATACGCAAAGCAAAACGGATCAGATGATATCCATGGAAGGAAAACTCGATGCGATTGCTCGCATGCTGGCTTGGTCATTCATTACAGGATACACATATCTACATACTAGTACATACCGTACAAGGCCCCGGTGCTCAATCCATCCGGGTAATCACGACGTAATAACAATATTTAGGCCAAAACACTGCCCAGGCACAGAAGAGATAAGAAGCGTGACTTTACTCACGTCCGAGACAAACAACCTTCGATACCCAAGGGTATAAAACACGTCCGCTCAGTTAACGAAAAAAAAGAGAAATAAAAAAAGTAAACCGAAGAGAAACGATAGAATAGTAGTTAACTATCTGATTAATAAAGTATGGTCATATCGCCGACTGGAGTCCGGAGGTAGCTCACAGGACGGCAATGGCACCCAGAACGATCGCCAGCATGCCGCCAGAGACGCGGTTAACCATACCGCCATTGACGTTGGGGACGCTGGTGGTCGAGGTCGAGGCACTGGCGGAGGTGGTGCTGGAGGCCTCGGTGGAGGTCGAGGCAGAACCAGTCGAGGTGCTGGTCGAGGTACCGGTGGCGCTGGCAGAGGCACTAGTGGACTCGGTGTTGGTGCCAGAGGCAGTAGCCGAGGCAGTGCTGGCAGTCGCCTTGGTCAAGGTGGTAAGAGTCTCGGTGGCGGACTTGGTGTTGGTGGTCGTCTCAGTCGCGGAGGACTCGGTCGCAGAGGTAGTCTCAGCGGTAGTGGTGGAAGACGCAGTGGTAGACGCTGCAGCAGTAGCACCGGCCACAGTGAACCGCGGGAGGTAGTTGACCTCACTGGTATCGTCGTCGTTAAAGATCTCAATGGTGTAGTCAGGCTGAGCGGCGAGGTTGGCAGGGGGTGTCCATGTGTAGCTGCCCGAGTTGGCAATATTCTCTGAAGACGCCGTCAGCATACATGCACATGGAACATCACTACTCATGATCAAGGGGGACTTACTGGCAATGGTAGTGCCCGTGTTCGCAGTCATCACAGCACCCCACTGGAGCTTCAGGGAGACGGTGCCGCTGGTGGTAGGCTTCCAGCTGAGCGTAGTCGGCTCACCAGTCTCGAACGAATAACCCTCGGAGGGAATGTTGAACGGGTTGGCACCGCCGGTAGCAGCCGCAGCGAGAGACGCCATGGCGCTGAGAGTCAAGTAGAAGATGGAACGCATTTTGATGAAATTGTTCTAAGGCGATTGAATAATCCGAAAAGGGTAATTGATGTTGATATGATATGCAATGCAAGTGAGATACAACGAGACGGAAAAGCCTTCGACGTAAGTTTGATGGTTTAAAGGAGTGAACTCAGTAGGATAGTAAAAAAAGAAGGACTATGCGTAGATATATACGCAGGAACAAGGGTACCCAGAAAAGGAAGGAATGAAGGCTGTCCGAATTCGAGAAAAGGGAAAGAGAAGAGAGAGGGAAAAGGAGGGACCGCAAGACGGCGTGACTACCTTATGTACTAGTAAACTAGTAGTAGCATCTCGGGGTCGATGACAGGAAACCACGAGGTCTGGAGCCCAGTGCAGGTCATAATAATAATCACAATAATACCTCATGGAAGGGGCAAATTAAACCAAGCGCTAAGACCGGCACTAAATTCAGTGTCACCCCAATTGAGAGGCTAAGCCGATAAAAGGCCGGTCCGGATCCCCTTCTCTTAACTTCATTAGTCCTGTACTAGCGATGGACTTGGAGAACGACTCTTCATTCCCATTGGGGGAATGGGGGAATCACTGGGAATTAAAAAAGAAAAAAAAAAAAGATTGGTCGAGGGATCACCTGCCCAGGGCCATCGGACCTCCGTAAATAATCGGTTAGTACTGCTGACCATTAACAATACCCAGGGTCCGAGGGTCCAGGGAAAGGGCTGGACGAGAAGTTGTTGTATGGTGTTCTAATAATAATTATGGCAAAAAATCGCATCCGATATCCCACGCTCCATGAGAGAAAAAACAGTTTCCAGAATTTTTCTCGAAATTTTGGTTTTTTAAATTGTATCATCCAATCTCAACCAACGCTCCACCGAGCAGATTTGTCCTGCGGATACCTCCGATTCCGACCCTAGCGTTCTGCATGGTAATGTGCCTGTACGAGAAATAGAGATGTACCTGACTAGTCCCGAGTAGGTAATCCAGCAGTTGACCCGACGGGAGCATCCATAGTAAGTTGACCTGTTCGACTCGGTACTTGTCAACGACGTACAATGGAATCTGTACCGTACAGGAATTGTTTATATGTCACGGTACTGATAACTAAGGTTCTGTTCACGGTTAATCAGTCGATCCGGAGAGAGCTACCTGGTGCCTCACTAGCATTTGATTGGTTCCCGCCGTATGAATTGACTGCCACTAAACCGAGAAAGGCGAACTTGGCGAACATCGGAATTAGTAATTCTCCTTGGAAAAATCAAATCCGAGCTTGGAAAGTTACTCCTGACCAATTTTTGGACTAGGGCTAAAACTTTTGTAGGCTGCATGTGGTATGGACTCGGTCTATATCCGATCGACATGTCTCGTTGACATGGATGTCGTAGTATATCCTCTGTATCCTTGGAAAACCTCATTCATCTTTGCCACAGATGGACTGTCGTTCTCTGGATGATGACCTCATCCATTCGGGCCCTCAAAACGGTTCTACCAGCTTCAAAGATCTTTCTCACACCCACTCGGCATACCGATCAGTTAATGATCTTCCACACCTACCACTCAATTGGGTCATAGTTCCCAGGCGGATGTCTCACTCTCATCCTTTCCCTCCGATCCGTCCAATAGAATAATCTTTGAGAACACGAAGCGGTGGAATGGCTGTGCATCTTCCCCATGGAGATCAACTACTATTAATATATTCTCAAGTTTTAAACTTAAGTTTCAGGGGTCCTGGAAATCGGAATGAAAAAGAAAACTTAAGCTTCAACTTGACAGCCAACGGTTTCTCCCTTTCCAGAATGTCACTCGTACTTTAATCTACCTTAATATCGGTCTCCTTTGTTCCCGGTCATGGAATGGATCCCATCCGATCTATCGGGGGCGTCCTGCATGGACCCATTGGTGGTCTTCCAATCTTTCGACCACTTGGCCACGTGCTTTAGTATCTTTGGTCTCCCCGAACACACCGACACCGCCGGACCTACTTTGACAGGGAAAAAAGAAGGCTACCGTTTGAACGTGAATAGCACCTTTGGAGCTCTCGTCGGAGACTGCCTCAGACAGTACTGTGAAGTACCAGATCCAGAGCTGGAAGGATGTGATTTAGAGGGGTACACTCCCAGCGAGTATTATCGCGTATTCACTCTCCCCAGACCAGAATTTAAGACCACGACCTGTACGAGTGTCGATAATGACGTGAATCAGGATATTGGCGGTGTGGGGGTATATCTACCTGGACGGTACTGTCTATTGACTTTTCACAAGACTTGCTAACAGCTACTGTCCCTTGTAAATCACAGGTCTTGCTCTCATTCGCGATGCAGTCCGGCATCCTTCTATACGTCCACCTCGCTGTTCTCATACTGAAACTCATCCCAGCAGTCGCACGATGTATCCGTCGGTGTACGACGAGGGCACGATCAAAGGCCAAGATTCAGTTCGGCCAGCATCACTTCTCAGTCCTGAAGTCCATGCTGGTAGAGTTCCAAGAGGCTCAATGCTTCTTCATGCTCTCCTTCCAGTGTGCTGCCCTGATTGCTCTCGCGGCTGGCCCGCAGGTTTTCGAGGCAACTAGCTTGTTGCAGCTACAGTCAAACATTTCCATGGCCAAAGCGGTTGCATTCATGGGTATCCTTCCTATTACGTACGGCTTATGGATAATCCACAGGATTGGCTTGCATTCATGGTACATCTCCGTGTGGTCCGCCATCACAATTGTGACGTCTAGCGTCACTCTGCATCTATGCAAGGTGGAGCCTCGAGCAGACAATCTACAAGAGATCGCGACAGCAGATCGTCTCAACAAATGCGGTTTTTTCCCACCTCCTCTCGTATACTGTCGCTCGGATTCCGATTTGGGGTCAAACTACAGCATTGTGAGCAGTCTGACCTTCGGGCTGTCCGACAATTTCCTGAACTTCACTTGCATTGCGATCTACGGACTCCTCCTTTTGAAACGTCTCGCCCCCTATCCCAAGCGATGGCTCGGCCAGAAGCCATGGTTTCAGGCAATTTACCACTGCGTCCAGCCGTGGCTAGTGTCTAGAGGAGTCAGGATCATTTCCGGGACTTTGAATGTGATCATTGAGACCCTTCTCCTACTCGCCAACTTCTTTTATTCTTTCATGGTTATAGCACGAAGTCTTCCGACGACCTCACTTGACTCATGGAGTTTCGGTCAAATCATTGCCGTAACTATCTGGTCTCCCATCATCAGCAAATATCTCTACTGGCTCTTGTGTACGTATCTCTTTTTCTCTCTCTACTCCCGTATCCTCCTTTTACTTTGCGCTCATAACCGAAACAGTCGGCACAGACTCCTACTCCGCCATCCGATTCCCATCCCCCTACAAAATAATCCGAGTTAAAACAATGAACGAAGAAGACAAGCCCGGCGATGATGATCATCTTTTTATTCACCTCCCCTCCACAAGCGATCTGCACATCAACCCGAACTCGAAAAAGTTCATAGTCACCGACATAGAATTGACCCCGGTTAACGACTCAAAAGACATCGTCGGTTAGTACGCGACATTCTCGATTCCCTGTCCAGGTATATCTACTTTTGTATTACTATTATAAAATTCATGCTCGGTTTTTCGGGGGTGTTCTGGAGAATGCATTGGCTGGTAAGGTTTGGCGTTTGGGTTATGCGAACCATGTCTGCACTGTTTTATACCTATTAAGCTAGGTGATGGATGTACGATTACTATGTTAGAATAGATAACCTATACAGTGGATATAGACGGATAGATAAGTATGTTAGCTGTATTATATATCGCAGATTTCACTTGAGCCTGATCTGCAATTGCGTGATCTGTCTCAGCCTTATCGATCGATGAGGATGGTCATGTAGATCCTGTGTAAGCTTATTTGAGTGTTGTGGCGCATGGGCCATTAGATTAATTCAATGTCAGTGCTACTCGAATTTCAAGGCATGTTTTGGCTCTACATCCAGAAATGAAGAGGAATAATGCCACCTATGTGATTATTCTACGGGTAGAGATGTGGCCATCAAGAGTTGAAGCTCTAAAACTAAACTTATTACCTCTCGGATTCGGTTGAGGCGACTGGTTCTTGTTCCAGCTTATCTGGATGGTATAGCAAACCGGTCGTCACTCAGCTATAGAGCCCCATTGTGTATATGCATGGGTAATTCGAACCATTGAAAGAGACGGGAATAACACCTATTGTACAATGGTACATCATCTGGAAACAGGCCGACCAATCAATCTATCTTGTCCTTTAGACCAGGCAGTCAAGGTTTGATTAAGAATGGTTGCTGAGACGTATATATACATGCTAATATGAACAAGTGTTTGCTAAGCAGTGGCTGGGGCACTATCGCCAGTCTCCGCCGATACAACACCTTCTGATGATGGTGGATCTCCTGGGAGCCCTTGGGATGATTTTACCTCACCCGTTGCAGAGTTCTCGTTCGCACCTTCCAGGGACCCTTCGTGGGAGTTTGTTTCGTCAAGAAAGCCGTTTTCGCCGAGCCATACAATAGCTTCCATAACTTTTCGATCATCTTCACCTTTTTGGCGGTCGAGAAGCTGATTTCGTATGTTAATTCAGTTCGTGATAGAAACCCAAGAAAAAAAATATAACTTACTGCTTGCAAAAGGCCTTTACGCCCTTTCTTCTCTACAGGTTTAGCCTTAGCCCCACGATCCGGCGTCTCGTGCAGAAACTTGCACTTATCTCCACGCTGACAACGACCAGTTCGGGCAAAGTGTCTGCATAGCTTCTTCTTTGCTTCACGTGGAGGTGGAGCTACCCGTTCAGGGCCCTCACGGCGAGAGGTTGCCTCCTCAGGGGCGGAATCGCTGTCGCTGTCCTCCGAGTCTGAAGAGGAGAGGTCCGATCCGCTGGATGAAGTCCAGTCACTGCTGTCGGAAAGATCCGAAGACACAGCAGCATCGTCCTTAGCGTGCTCCATGACATCCTCCCTGTTTGGCTTCGATTCGGAAGTGGATGCTGACCCAGCATCATTGGCGGGCTCTGAAACCTGACCCAGAGTATGTCCTGAAGCGAGTAGATCACCCTGAGTCTCTGAAGATCTCGTCCCCTGATCAGGAACAGTATTCGATTCAAGTTCAGGGCCTGGTTGAGCTTGAACTTCTTGTGTAGATGCACAAGCAACGTCTCTGTTAGCGTCCGTCGATCCTCGTTGCAGTTCCTCGACTCTCATCCGAGCCCGCTCAGCATCTGCTTCCGCCTTTTCGACCTTTTTCTGCTCTTTCATGAGCTTCCGTCGTAGTTTATCGGCCTTCCGTTTCGCTTTCTCGGCTGCGTCTATTGGATCTGTAGGAGCTTGCTGATGGTCTTTCTGCGCTTTCTTCAACTCTTGTTTTCGCGATTCTTTTTGCCGCTGAGCTTCTTCCTTAGCTTTCTTCGCCTCCTCCATTGCCTTCTTCTTCTCCTCGACTTTCTCCTTAGTTGGGAACCGTTTTTTGCGCTCTTCAATCCATGCTGCAATTTCCGCGGGAGACTGCAATGTCGTAGTGCGTCCTTTAAATGTAAACTGCACGGCTGCCGCAGCACCAGCACCACCCTGTGCTAGCCTCGATTCTTCGTCTACATCATCTTCCTCCTCACTTGACTCGTGTTCCTCCGTCTTTGGTGTCAAGCCAAGTTGATTGTGCTTTCGTTTCTTCTTCTTCGGTTTTCTCGTAGCGTCAGCCGGCGGAGGAGGCTTGGACGGTAAAGGATTGCCGAAGCTAGGAACCGGAGGAGGTGCAGGAACCCGCGGGGTAATGTTCTGTGGCTTTCCAAACGCTGAGGCATGATCGCGCTTCATATGTGGCATGGTACCACCCCCTCGAGAAGCTTGATTGCCGTAAGCATTGTATGGGCGGGGGCCTCGCTGATTCCCGTGTGGAGGGCCAGTGTACGCTCCCGTAGAGCCGGCATTATTGTATCCCCAATGCATGGGCGGGCCCATCATCGACGGCTGTACCGATGGGGGGGCATTCTGGTGGTTTGGACTAACAGAGTGATACGTTGGGGCCTGTTGAGCGGTAGATGGACCGTAAGCTGAGTAGCCAGGCTGATGCTGGTACGGAGCTCCATGTGTTGGTGTAGGCTGTGGAAATGGTCGTGAAGGAGGAAATGAGTTCGTGCTTTGGGGAACTTGGTAATTGGCGGTCTGCGAAGGCGTGAATTGCGGCGTCGGGATACTTTGTTGAGGATTGGCCATGGGCTGACCTGCATAGCCAGAATAATTCATTGGGGCGTAGCCCATATTTGAAGAATTCGTCGCATGGGGCATGTATGATCCTCCTCGACCTCCTCGATTTCCATACCCCCTCCCGCGGCCTCTATGATGGCCGCCACGTCCACCTCGCTGGCCATGATGGCCTGGACCGTACTGTGAGGGGAGAGTCGCAGGTTGGTTTTGGTTATACTGCGACTGCTGAGTGGGAGGAGGAGGGGGCGGAGGGGGGAAAGAGAAGCCCTGGGAGTTCATCGTGAGAGGACCTCAGTAGACCTCCAAAGAGAATTAGCATCAACGCCATCCTCACAGCATCTTAGACATCTGGGAAAAAGTGCCGAGCTCATCAGATCAAGCAACTGATGCGCTGTTGTTCCGTTCCGGACACAAAAAGGGAAAGCGTAGTGGTCACGTGTGTCATGATCTGGTCGGGTAAAAAATATCAAAAGTGATCCGCAGTCTGCGATTGGCCGAAATCAATTTGTGGTTTTTCAGAGGGATATTTCCATTATTATAATAAGTTCTCTGCTATCATAAATATGGAGGCATGAGTTATGTTGCCTGCGTGACGGAAGATTGTTGCTTGATCTGATAATGGAATTAACTCGTGCTCTATCTTTCCGCCGTGGGACCAAATCGTATTGAAATAGAAGACTTTTTTTATCTACCGCCAAATACCTACTAATTGAATTCACCATGTTCATTCTTGTAAGTCTCCTTGGACCTTTTTCTAACTTTGCAATAAAGCCTTTTTACACCCAAGGCAAAAGCTAACTCGTTCATACAGACTACCCTCTCCGATCTGATCCAGATCTCCCCAGAAGACTTCTCGAAGTATAGTTCGATCGCTATCGAGGACAATATCAATGAGAAGTACGCAAATAAAGTACGCACGGTTTTCTATCTGAAATGCCACGTTCGCTTGCGCAGCTTGTACTAACAGTAATCGTGTAAAGGTCATTCAAAAGGTTGGCCTGTGCATTGGATTCTACGACCTGTTAGAGTCCTCAGACGGTCTTATCGGTCATGGTACTGGTTTAGTCAATGTGAACGGTACATCCATGCTGAATCTGTGAAAGAGAGCCTATGCACTAATTGAGAGACAGTCAAATTCCGCCTCATTGTGTTCCGTCCGTTCAAAGGAGAGATTATGTTGGGCAAGATCTCCAGCGCTACTGAACATGGTATTAAAAGTACGGCGAACTGAAATTGGCCCCTGTGGTGCCTCTACTGACTGATCACAGTTGGGGTAGAGTTTTTCAACGATATCCTCGTACCTCCAAACCTTCTCTTGGACGGCGCCAGATTGTGAGCTGCCTTGATATGCCCAGTGTTCTTAGTCATCTATGTTAACATGCTACAGTGACTATGCCGATCAAGTTTGGATCTGGGAAAACGAGGACGGCTCCACATTTTATTTTGATATCGGAGAAGTTGTCCGATTCCGCGTTGAGATAGAAGAGTGGCATGACCAAATACCCAACGCGCCAGATCTAGGTGATGCTGCCGCTCTGGAACGGAAGCCCCCGTATTCTATTATTGTACGAACTCTCTCTCCCCCCCCGTGACTCTTGACTTGCTTACTAACGATACCCTAGGGATCGATGCAAATGGCTGGTCTGGGACCTGTCTCTTGGTGGTAATGTTCCGAATGGGTCATGTGCATGCTTGACGTGAATCAGCAAGAATCACTTTCTTGGTTCCCTTACTTCCCGTGCTTATGTGATGAGATACCTCGCTGATGGAATGGTTGGACTATGCATATTTCCATGGTTACATGAATAACGAAACAATCTTAACATAGAGATTTCAGTGATTGCTCACAAATCAGCCAAATGACGACATTTGGCCGGAAAGGGGAGAGTTTGTCGAGGCAACTACATCGAGAGACTTCTGCTTGAGGATGGAAGAATGAGAGATCTGACCATGCAGGATGAATTCCCCGCCAAATAGATCGACATGATCAGATAGACCTTGTAGCTAATTGTATGCAGAGTACATGAAGTACGGGCTACATAGTACTATCATTATCAATCGAATTCGGCTAGTGGCGGAGATAAAGAAAATTGCATTGACACCGCCACGGGAGGGGACAATCAACGGTTCACGGTGGAGTTGCACTCGGCGCTATGCCGGAAATCCTCACGGGGCCCGATCAGTCCCTGCCCTATCGTGCTTCAGCATGCTTGATGTGCAACGTAAAAAAAACCCATGTCCAAGCAACAGAAATTTTTTTCCCTCGGGTTTCAGGAGGAAAGGGGGGTAAAGTTGGTTCTAGAGTCATCGTTAATAAATCCTAATTAATTTTAAAACCCGGCTTCACCGATCTTACTCTGTTTGCCCTCGTATCAATTATAAATCAGTACCTTGTCACGACTGCGGTACAAAAACCACACTACTATTTATTAGATCTTCCTTCTCGCAGCTTGTGACCTCATAGGCGCTTCTATCAGGCTTCCAGAAAGAAAGAAAATCTGTGAAGACTTATTTCCTCGTCTTCCTTTACGAGTCTACTTTGTCAGATTCTTTTTGATCTTTTTTCTTTTTTTGCGATTCTATATAGAGATACACCACGCGATCACGTTCGCAGTCCCGTGACAATGACCAACTCGACCAACGGAGCCCCTGCTCAAGACAAGCGCTTCGGCACTTTGGCTGTCCATGCCGGCGCTCACCATGACCCTACGACTGGCGCTGTTATTGCTCCTGTAGGTTCTCACACTTGACATGGATTGATTTGGAGATGCTGACGGGTTGTGTAGATCTCCCTTTCCACCACTTTCGCCCAGACCAGTGTCGGCAGCCCTGTAGGTATCTACGAGTACACACGTAGCTCCAACCCCAACCGGTGAGTACCCGACTCGGAACGGTTCTTGGTTTATGATTGATCTTCATGCTAATTCCCGATCAGCGATAACTTCGAAGAAGCCATTGCAGCTCTTGAGCATGCTAAATATGCCCTCGCATTCTCCTCCGGTTCCGCAACCACTGCGGTGATCCTTCAATCCCTCGCGGCCGGCTCGCACGTCGTCTCAGTTTCCGATGTCTACGGTGGAACTCACAGGTACTTCACAAAGGTCGCCAACGCCCATGGTGTGGATGTGACGTTCACCCCCACCATCGAGTCGGACGTGGAGAAGTTGATCCGTCCGGAGACCAAGCTCGTGTGGATCGAAACCCCCTCAAACCCAACTTTGGGATTGGTCGATATTGAGAAGGTTGCTGCCATTGCTCATCGCCATGGAATCCTTGTGGTGGTTGACAACACATTCATGAGCCCCTACGTCCAGAACCCTCTGGATCACGGTGCCGACATTGTCGTGCACTCCGTTACTAAGTACATCAACGGCCATTCGGTATGCTTCTAGCCCTTCTGCTTTTAGCGCAGGGTCATTTTTCTTGAGTAGCCTGTTAGCTAACCATGAGACAGGATGTTCTGATGGGCGTCGCTGCATTCAACTCCGATAGCTTAAAAGAGCGCCTTGGATTCCTCCAGAACGCCATTGGTGCCGTTCCTTCTCCCTTCGACTGCTGGCTCGCTCACCGTGGTCTTAAGACTCTCCACTTGCGTGCTCGCGAGGCCACCACCAACGCCACGGCTATCGCCAAGGCCCTCGAGGCCTCCCCCCATGTTATCTCCGTCAACTACCCCGGCATTGATTCTCACCCTCAGCGTGCGATTGCTGTCAAGCAGCACCGCCAGGGCATGGGCGGCGGTATGCTCAGCTTCCGCATCCAGGGTGGCGAGAAGGCTGCTCACCTTTTCTGCAAGTACACCAAGGTCTTCACTTTGGCCGAGAGTTTGGGTGGTGTGGAGAGTCTTTGTGAGGTTCCCGCTAGCATGACTCACGCCGGTATTCCCAAGGACCAGCGTGAGGCTGCTGGTGTCTTCGACGACCTGGTCCGCATGAGCTGTGGTGTTGAGGATGCAGAGGATCTCCTGGCCGACGTTCTCCAGGCTCTTAAGAAGGCTGCCGCCTCCAGTGAACAGAACGGCACCGCTTAATTTAGTTAATTTAATAGAAAATTAGAACCTTTCATAGAACAAGTTAATGATGACACGGATTACTCTTCACGAACTTGCTTTTCGTCATGACAATTCAATTCCCTTTCCTAGTCCTTCTCAGACAGCCCATATCTCATAGACTATGTAAATGCTCCAATCAGTCCAGATAATACGAAAAATATAATGAACGTGCAAAACGAGTGGTCAGATAAACGACTTGTGCCACAAGCATCAAGTAGACACGCTTAGTCATCTATGGCAATACCGCAAAAAATTTAGAGCACATTTGAAGGCTGAAGCAGGTCCCAAGACTATAGCTACTGAACATTTAAAAATTGGAGTCAGAGCCCCTAGGATATACGCGCAAGTCCTACGGTGTCTCCCGCAAAACCTTGTGTCCTCAAAATCTAGCTTGCACCCTAAACCTTTATCAAATTATAACTGTTCCGACACTATCTACGCGTGCCCCGCGTCTGTATTTTATATCGGCATAAACCCCAATAGCTGTTGGCGACATCTTAGTGGGATCTGGTCGTGACAATCAGTGCTGTCTTTGATAATGGCGTCCGCATTCAGCTTCGGCTTCGCTGGGGACGACATTGACATCGACGACTCGGAGTTGAACACTGTTGATGAGGGGCATATATCCGTTGCGCAAGATAGTAGCAGCGCACTCCCTGAACTGGTTACGGCCCAGAGGCATGAATTGAGTGACTTGGTAGGTTCATCTTCATGTTGATGTGCCTTAACTGGCATTGAGGTTTAGCCCTCATCAATAGTACCTTATCTAGATGCAAGGGGCTTTCTAGCTCTTGTCCTTCTATTCAGATGAGAAAGAATACGATTCACGCTATCGTGCTTTAGGCTGAGCAATAAGACTGACCATGCTGTAGCTCTCAAGTCTCCCGTCTCAGGTTTCATTCAACAAACTCAACATAAGTACACCTCAGGATGATCAAACACCCGGAAGGACACTCACACTCGCTCGTCGCGAAGTGTTTGACATTCGTACCCAATTGATGGCAGAAGATACTGCCGATTATGCGAACGAAGAGCTGATCTCCGGACTTGAGAAAGGAGATATCACGCCCAACATCTATGAAGGCGGTTTCAAGACGTGGGAATGCTCAGTAGATCTCGCGAAGTTGGTTGCTAATGAAAACATACTATCTAACGCTGATGCGGGGGATCGACATATCATTGAGGTTAGTGTTACATCTGGCGTCTAATCTTAACCCCGTCTGTTGGATCAGTTCCTAATACCGGATCTCTAGCTTGGAGCCGGAACGGCAGTGCCGTCGCTTGCTCTGTTTGCGCAATTACTGTCCAACCCCGGGGGGTCGTCACGAGCTACTCGTTTCACGTTTGCAGACTACAACTCTGTTGTTCTTCGGTTGGTGACTTTGCCTAACCTGCTTCTAACTTGGAATTATATTGTCATGCGTCAGAAGTCGGTGTCAGTTGCTGGGACAGAAGAACAGGTTGAGGAGGAGCTGGAGTTGGACATCACCCCGGAACTTCTAGAGGCTTTCCAGAAGGATCTTGCGGAACGGAGCATCTCCGTCGAATTCATCTCCGGTGCCTGGTCGCCCGCTTTCGTCGATTTGGCGTTCTCGTCGAGTGAAAAAGCTAAAGATGGAACGTTGGTCCTTGCTAGCGAAACGATATACTCCCCGGCGTCTTTGAGTGCGTTTTCGGAGACATTGCTGGCCTTGCTCCATCGTCCTGTCCATGCAGGCGGGAGAAGTAGAGCTTTGTTGGCTGCGAAGAAAGTCTATTTCGGAGTCGGTGGTGGTGTGGACGAATTTTTGGAAGTGTTTAATACTGTCGGTGGGGATGGACTGGATGTGAGGGAGCGGCTGGATGTTAAGTCAGAAGGAGTGGGTAGAATAGTCCTGGAGATTGCGCCCATAGGTGTCCAATAATGGTAGATAAACAGATACCGCGATGGAAGATCAACCTTGTCCGGGAACTATGTTGTGGATTATGGGCTTTTGTTCCCCCGATAGGATCAGGAATCCAATGAAACTGTCAACGAAACCTTGCACTGTCCTGTTATATGTACATTGTTTGACCCTGTCATGCCTACTACCGGCGTCTTGGAACATGAAAACGAAATCAATTTTGTCTAATCATAGATAGAGACAACCTTGCCATCTTGCATCCGGGCAACACGGGCCTCTTCCAGCTCCCTGTTTTGGCGCTCATAGTGTGCGGTAACATGGCTCATATCCATAGCCGAGCCGGCAGGGACATTGAAAGGAGGGGCGGAGTTGAAGCTGACCCTGGAGGGGGGAGGAAACAAGTTATATTAGCTGGTGGTCTGCAAGAGCAGGTGCGGTGCGGTTATATGAGACATACTCGGGCTGCTTCAATTCGAAAACGGCTCTAGGGCCCTGACTTTGGAACAAGTGGCGGTCATGGGCAGCCTTCTCCATTACGACAGTGCGAATGGCATTTCTCTCTTCAAAAACCTTCTCCGAAGGGGTCCACTTTTGGATGAGGCTAGAAATCCACGATTGCGATCCAGACTCCTCGGTGGACTTGCTCAGTCGGTAAAGGACGTAGGCAGAGGCGAAGGAGCCGACGGTGACGTAGAAGCTACGCTGTACAGGTCATAAAGATCCATGTCAGTCACAGCTACCAATTGACGGGCAGCAGCCTGCTGCTACCAGTGAAGATATCGAGTTGTAGAGGGGTCCAAGAAACGTACGCCGAAGCTCTCGTTCACAGGCTCAGCATGGTGGTGAGCCGCGTGCGAGTCAAATCGCCGCTGGGGCTGGTTGCGCAGCAGTAGCCGCGCGGAAGTGGCCGATCGCCTAGCGAAGAACATAGTGTGGAGGTAGACAATTGGCAGGGCCAAACGAATATGATGCCGTCCATTTGGAGGAAGAACGCAAGCTGGTGAGCGGTTCGAGGCGGATATCACGTGAGGCTTACTGGATGCGGTTTAGTGTCCTCACGGGGCTTGGCGCCGGGGGCGCCGGTCACCTACCAATGAGAAGCATGATTATTTTCCTTTCTCTAGTCTACATCCTCTTGGTCGGTGACGACAAATATGCCGCTCAAACAGCCCAAAACGCTGCTGACTCCGAGCAGACTGTAAGTCTCGCCTCGCTTCGCTCGGATACTTTACAAGGAATCCCGGAGCATGGAACGAAATCTATTCGAAACCAGCGTTGGGGAGAAATGGCCTTAGTGGCATGGGTCTACACCACCATGTTGCCTCCTGCAACAAGTCGGCGGGTCGCTGCGTTGTCTCGACAGTAATGGTGGTTTTTCTTTACACCGCATTTGGAGGTGGTCCTGATGCACGACTAACTGCCTCATTCCGAGATGGCGCTCCCCACTGTTCCCCAGTCGCATGGTGTCAATTGGGCTGCGGTCCCCTCCCAAATTATGCAGGCGTCTGAACGTTTGGCTATCAGAGGCGACATGTCATCGATCTGATTTTAGCGCTTTCGACCCACTCGTTACCTGCCTCCTCGACCGACTTTGACTGATTCCTCCGTCCTGTCATAGATAGTATTATGACTGTATGCAACACTTTTTTTCCCTTGTCGTTTTTTTCTCCCTCATCTGCACGCTATGATTCATCCTGCCACCTTGAAAAAAACAGTGCTATTGATGCCCAATGCTCACTCATTGGGTGATACTCTCTCCCCATCTTGAAATGATCGGTCCACTTCTGTGTCCTCGTTTCGCGCGAGAAATGTATGCTCTTTCCTTTCCTGCCTTTGTGATCCATGTTGAATGGGTATCAATTACTGTTCTAAGGTTCGGTCCGTTTGTTCGCCTTACCAGCCCCCTTGAGGCTGGATGCAATGCCTCCAGTGTGCAGCGAGTTTCTTTTTTTGGGCGTGTTTTAGGATAGATTCTTAGCTGCGTATTTTTTACTGCCTCGCCTAATGTCTTAATTAATTCCGATTCCTCAGAAATCCAAATTATTTATTTGACGAGTTGAGATCTGTCCTGTCTTGCCAGAATTGTCTGCTTGCGTTCAACGCAGGTATTTACCATCGGGCGTCTTGACTTCGTGGATTGCAACCATTTGCGCCCACTTCCAGGCTTCCCTGCTCTAGGGCGAATTTTCTTTCTCGCATTACTTTTTTCGTCCTGATTTTCTTCCCTGTGTCTGTCGTGTGATCGTTTGACCCTTCGCCCCCGTGCAAGTTGTCATCTTTTCTCCATATCAGATCGGAATATATCTTTGGCGCCGCTGAGCGCGTTTTCATGTATTGCTTCACACCCCCAACCACCACCCAATTGCGTTTTTGCTAACAGGTTTTTTAGCCTACTGGTAACACGTCTTTTTCCTTTTCTTGAACTTGGGCACGCATTATTTTTACCATCATGGCCCCATCCAAGAAAGGAAAGGGCAAGTCCGGTAGCAAAAAAAATAATAAGAAGTCAAAGGCCCAAGAGGAGCCAGAGAATCAAACGCCTCCACCGGCTGCACCTGATGTTCCTATTCCTGAGCCACAATCAGAGGAACAACAACCTGCTGAACAGCAATCTCAGGAGCCACAGTTAGCTGAGTCACAGCTGCAAGAACAACAACAACCCGAACAGCCATCTGGTCAAGCAGCGGAGCAAACAACTGACCAACAACCTGACCAACCCACAGATCAGACCTCAGAGCAACATCCTGAGCAGCCAATAGACCAACCATTAGATCAACCCCAAGACCAACAAACAGATCAACCCCTAGACCAACCCCCAACAGATCAAGCAGATCAAGCAGATCAACAGCCCCCAGACCAGCAAGCGGAGCCACTGCAAGAGCAACCACTTGATCAAGAGCTGCAAGACCAGCCACCCCTTGACCAACAGCTGCAAGATCAACAATCAGATCAACAGCTGCAAGAGGAACCACTCCTTGAGCAACAGTCACAAGATCAATCATCGCTTGATC